GATTCCTGCGAGACAATGACCAACACAAGGCAGGGGGGGTTCTCTCCATCTCATACCTTGCTGCATATGATGTGTCAATCTTGGTGATTTGTGACTTATGGATTAACATACCATACTGTGAAGACAAAATTGGGCAAGAGAAAACAAAATGCCAATATAAAAACTTTCTCTATACTGACAGTCTCTCAATCAGGCGTGGAGCAGATATGATGAAGAGACATCAGACTGGTCTTGTATCACACCTTCCATCTCATAATTTACCAATGTCTCCATGCATACTTTTCGTACCGGTACCTTGAGTAGTATGTACTTCATTCATTGCCCCTCTGAGAGTTGTAACAGTCTGCTGTTTTTGTCTGCAGTTTGAAGGTGACGTGGAGAACACACCCTTTGATGCTAACGTGTACCTACCCATCACCATAGGGACAGTTCCAGTCTATCGGCCTCCCTACCAGGACCCTTCAGGTGTGGTCGTCCAGCAACCCAGCAGCAGTGGTAGGTTCACTTTCTCCCTCGACGTGACATCCTCTAATCTTTTGCCAAAAGGAAGTTCGCTGTGTTTTTTTTTTCTTGAGCCTTCAATATCTGCCGTATTACACAGAACCAAGTAAAGATGCCATTAAGTGTTGAGTTTTTACCTGTCAGCATGTAGCCTAATTTGCTGTCCTGGCTAGGAACATGTTGTGAGGAAGATTTCTATCATTTCCCCTTCTTGTCACTGCGCAAGATACCTCCGTAATTCAAACCTGTCTTCAGTTTGTAGACTCGCAGGGATCGGGGTGAATGCCTGTAAACATCAAAGCATGACAGGTGGTAAAGGGTCATGCGTTGTGCTGTTCACCCGTGAAACAGAAAAAAAATCGGAAGGACACGGTACTGTGGCACACTGTGAATTGTTTCTGTTCATCAGAAGGAGTATCTTGAAAAAATCATTTGTTTTTATTCTAGGACCACCACCTCCAAGTTATGAGATAGCCATAGAGGGACTCCAGGAGGTACCCAGCAAGAGTGGCTATGACTACACCTTTGGGAAGCTGATGTACGCCCCCCAGTACCCAACATACAACCTGCCGGCGCAACCGCCAGCCTGGGATCCCATGCACCCACCACCAGGGCAGGACCCGACCTACCCACCTGGGGGCTATCCACCCCCCAATGACCTGACCTACCCACCCGCGCCTGGCTACCCCCCTGCACGCATGCAACGCTACCGGTACCAGCCGCTTTCGGGTGGCAGTGTCTACCCACCACCCAGAGTTTTGGCCATCGTTTGAGAGTGCAACTTCTCGAGTCTAGAAGAGCTAACAGTACCAGTAAGCAGAGTGAAGTCCCTATCAGCTAGGGTCCAGGGCCCACTGAAGGGCCTAGATCGGTGTGTTGGCTACTTTAGATGCTGTCTGCTGGTCTCTAATTTATTCCTTATACTTGTTTTCTAAGTAGAACCGTATGTTAGCTTGCTTGGTTTGATTTTTCCCTTTTTTCAAATAAAAATAGGTTTAACAAAATACCGATGTGCAATTGCCCCTCATTTTGCAATTTTATTTGCCAGTAGTGATTAAACAGCAGCAACAGAAAACTTAAAAGCAGTGTATAGGATTTGCAAGATTGCAAAAATGGGACTGTCACATTATCTTGAAATATCTTACCGTAAAGTGAGTACATAATAGCGTCAGACAGTCTGTGAAATCTTATCACCTGGAAAGCCGTCATTTTCAAGAAAAGAGAAATTTTATGTTTTTTCCAAGGAAGAAAATAAAATTCTTTCGAATACCGCAACCATTGACGGGCACAACAAAACTGTGTGAAGCATTGAGCTGCTGGAAGAGTTTATATGAACGGGTAATATTCAAGCTGTCAACAGGCCTAAATTCATTATTAACTAACAAAATAGATACATAACCGTGACGAACAGTCTGAAGGAAAATTTGGACTAGTTGAAAATTAAAATTTCTTCATGAAACTTTGGTAGTTTACCTCACGTGAATATATCATCTCGCTTTCACCCCTTAAGATAATGATATGGTCCAATGACCATTCCTTCGGAGCTCCGTACTGAAGCCTGGTTTTCTAAAACAAAACTCCTATTTCGAGACATTTAGCTTTCTATTTTTCCAATAACAGTAACTCTTATGCCCAAAATGCAAGGATAGTTACCATATTTGTTTATTAATAAAGCATTTCTGATGGGCACTGAAAGTATGTGGACAGCTTTTGACTAACGTAGGGGGTCTACGTACGTGTAGAGAGAGAACAGCGACTGTGTGGTCGATCGTGTACGTGTACATGTACATGGTCCCGCAGTGACTGTGGTGGCTGCAGTGACTTCAATGCCTGATGAAAAATTGTTTATTCAACAAATTCTCAGCTTTGCGTTGTTGAAGAGGAAACACGAATGTAAAGGAAATTTGCCAACAAGTACTACACGAAGCCATGGAGAAATACATTTTTGAGGGCCATAATCGGTCTGCAGATCGACCTCGCCTGTGCATTGTTTTGTCGCTCAGGAACATCCTGTGGCCCATGGATTTTTGCAAGACAAATTACATGAGCTGCACTTCAAGGGTTAAAACTGAACAATGTTTTTCTCAATTTCTCTCGACGCATTGATCTCAACAAATGAAACAAGTTTGTGGAATGAGACACATAGTTAATCACAAACCCCAAAATCGGCCAATTTTGACAAATTGCATTAAAAGCAAATCCTGTACACTGCCTTTAAGAAGGAGATAGACAAATAAACCCTTTGTAATAGTTTTTCATGATGTTTATGCTTGTCAATAAACTGTATGCAGCTTATTTTAACCTGAAGTAAATTTTAAGTGTTAATGTGATAGCTGTAATGCATGCGCAGTTCACTGGGTTCTATTGCAGCGTGTTGTCAGTTTATTCCACCACAATGTGCATGCAATGCAACTTCCTTCCTTGAGGGAAAAGTGAAATTAAACCACTGGTACTGTCTTAAGCAGGCTACACACCACCTACACCTACAGGTGGCCAAGACTGCCCACCAACTGCAGGTACAGGTACAGTGAAACCAACCCTCTACCTGCAGATGGCTTAACCCTAACAGTTCCAAATCCTCCAATTTCAATGCGATTTTACATACACCCTAGGGGGGTAGGGTTAAGGCCACCCACCACCTGCAGGTGCAGGTAGTGAAGTCTATTCCCCACCTGTGGTGAGGTTATCCACCACCTGCAGGTGCTTAAGATGAAGGAAAAACAGATATGGAGCCTCCAGTGGAAAAAGTCAAAGCCATTAAGCTGGAAAAGATTGGAATGTTGTAAATGGAGAGTTTTTGTTTTAAAGGAATTAGCACCTGTTTTTTAGTGTTTGTTAAAAGGTGTATTTTTAGCCTTGCCTGTCATTGATATGAATATGTATTTTTGTAGTTACAGTTACAGATAAATTAATGATATGGTCATGTATTAGCAATATTCATTTATGTACTTGTAATCTTTACTGTCTCAACAGTATAACTGCAGGTGTTTTGTAAACTTGTAAACGAATAATATAAGATTCATTTAATAATGTGTTGTGAGCTTGAAAAGCTCACAGTTGGGTTTGCTGCAAGTCAATATTTTTAATATTTACCTTTTGCGATTTTTTTTTAAAGCAGGATTTTATTTTGGAGGTTTTTACAATGTTGAACACAATTTTTTGCTTTTGTTGTTATGTTTTTAACTTTCTAACTTTTTTTGGCTTTTGTACAAATAGAAACAAGACCACAGGGCTGGTACCAAAATTGACGGGACTGGAACCCGTTCACGAGATATGTAGGCTAAAAGTGCCAGGGCTGAAAAAAATCATTGACATGCAAGTTTGCCTAAATGTTTTTGTTAATTGAGCTTTAGGAAGCTATGTTTTTACCTTCCAACCTTTGGAATAACATTGTACTCACATTTGTTGGACTGTATACTCTTTACCTTAATTGCTGCTGATTTCCACATTGATGGGCTGAATTGTTTGTACGTTAGGATTTTTTATTTTGGATGCATTTTGTACATGTAATTAATGTACAATTAAGGGTCGTACTGATGAAGGATTAAGGTTTTGTATTTTATTACTTTGGTGTATACATGTAAACATCAAACTACCACATACCGTTTGACGACAGGCAATGGCGGAGGAACGATTTTCAAAGTGGGGGCCAGTTGTGAGACTATCAGGCATTAGCCATTAGTAGGCCAATCCATTAAGCCCCACCGACAGTTGAAAAAGTTAGGGGACCACTGCCCCCTCCCCAACTGCTTCCGCCGCCAGTGACGACAAGAGTGACCTGAAATACAAGTATAGAAATTGTAAAATTAGCGGAGTACCGAAGCGTGACGTCATTTGAACCAGAAAGTGGCTCGTTGTGCTGAGGCTATAATTTGTGAGAATGTATAAATTGGGGGTGGCACTCGTTTATTGAGCCGGGTTCAGTGGAGCAATTGCAGACTATTTTCTTCTTCAGCCACGTACGCAAACAAAAAAAGAAATTCTAAGGATTTGGGGGGCTAATCATTTAAATATTTCTTTAAAAATGCAACAACTGACAAAAAAGAACACCTACACCTTGACACTTTGTATTTGTACTTGTTTATTTGATAAGATTTTTAAGTAAGGCCCAGAGGTGCGTAACGAAACTTAAAAACTAGAACACTTTCTGACCCTTGGCCCACGGCCTATAGGGAAAGTTGTCCAAATGTTGACCTGTTCCCGAAATAGAATTTTAATACAACGGTTCTGTCGTATCTTCCTTTTTTGCGGTGTGGGGGTGTTTTAATTTTGTTGCGTTGGACATGAACAATTCACATTAATTAACGAACGAGAGACAAGTCAGAATCTGTGTTCTGCTGTATATCTTCTTACGGAATTAAGTTTGCTTTTCTACCTTGTGTTCTTTTCAAATTAATGACTCGTGAAATTGATAAAGGTTTCCGTCTTTGATAAGTAGTAAAATATTTTTTATATTCAACAGTTGCAGCTGAGAATATGAACGATCAGTAGAGAACATTATAAAAATACAATCAAGTCCAAACACACACGACAAGTATGACCAAAATTTTAGTGTTGCCGAGTGTGTCTGTCCGCCGTCCGATCTAAATTTCTCCGATTCTAATTGGACATGCGGCTTAGATGTTAACCAAAAAAAAGAGAAGTACCAGAAAGAGAATTGCAAACGCTGTTACGATAGTGATAAGGAAGATTTGTACCGAGTCATATTTTCATGTGAAAAAAAAATTAAATGCAGAGACAATTTGCCTGCAAAAACGGTCCAATCATACTCTGTGTGGAAACACTTGGGTTGTCTGCTCAGTTGTGTTACTGGATTAACCCTAACCCTCCTCAATCCTCCAACAGGTGAAGGATTGAGAGGGGTTAGGGTTAAGCAAGGGCTGTTTTGATCTAGCTCGCAGGGAAAAACCTCTAGGCCCTATTTATGATCCTTCCCCGCCATACCAAAAATAGCCCTCATCGGCCCAAGCCGAGTTCCCCTCAGTGTGTTCGGCAACACGAACATAGGGGTGACAAGGGTCACATTCCTGCCGAGTTTCAACGATGATTGCCGGCAGTATAACAATCAAATTATGATGTCTACAAAGTGCTCCCGAAATCCCCTGTGCAGAGGTGTGCTGTGAAGGATGTTATGATTGTAGACGATTCCGTAAAACGGATAACAATTTCACCGAAATGACGATTTGTTTTTACAAGAAACGTACATGTATAGTCATACAGCGTTGAACCCACAATTTCTCTCTGGGAGAACAGCCAGTTCAAAAAAATCACCCAGTAGATGCATAACTGAATAATAATCGATAGAGACGTGTTTTGGCTTTGTTTTGTTTTTGACAGTGTTTTGCGTAACACAAAATCAATCACTAATTACTATTAAGTCGCCTTGTCGCTAAAAACGTTTAATCTGAAATTAAATCCAAAATTGTGGCTGTTAAATCAAACGCTTTTTTGTAAAGCTGCCTTAAAGTTTGTTTTCCGGCAAATATGTAAATGTACACGCCGATATTCTGTCTCAAAGTGTACTTCGAGTTATTTTCAAGATAAATTTTTGGAACCTTTTCCCTGTTTTTTCCCCCATTCATTGGCATAAATATCGCGTCCAGATTGTTACAGAGCAAGTTGCATGTCCACTGTAGATGGAAATTGCCTGTGGGCCAGTCCGTGCCTTTGTATCTGGGTCACCGTTAAACAATGACAGGATATAGGAAGCGCTGTCCAACTCCTAGCACTATGGTGCGTGAACCGGGCCACAATACTCCCAACCATTGTTATATCAGAGAAACGCTTCCCTGCATCTTCACACATCCATAACGAAGGGCTTTTTGCCGGAGTGCAGTGCTCTTACTCCTTGCTGTCAAAAGCCCACAAATATTTCGCTCGCGGTTGCTTCAGCAGAGGCTTTCAGAAAGTGAAGTTTTAGGTCTATTGTGCGTCTATCAACCTCAGACTGCCCAAGCGTGTCTTTGTTTCAGTGGTTTTTAAATGACTGTGGTGTGTACTGTCGAATTTTTTATTACTCCCTACGCGTCCTCTAAAATATCCATTGAGTTTTATTGAAGACGCCCACATACCACGCTACCATGGCTTTGTGAGGTATGCCTCCAGCCTGCGTGTTAAGTAATGTCACTATCGGCTGTGATTCGTTCAAATGAAGTGTTGTTGACTCACGAAGTTATAAGAACAGATGCTTCATTCTTTCCCTCGTTGCTGGTTGTGACTGGTACAACCTTATTTACAAAACACTATGCCCCGGTAACCCAAGAACCTAGACGGACGTAGGCTTCGCAAATTCCCGTTGGTGTGGGAAGTTTTAATCCCAAGTTGACAAAGGGGTCGCGATATTGAGCAACCTGGCAGACACCAGATCCGCTGCGTGAACTGAACATGTACATACGAATATTTGACACGGTCGTCGCTACAAGTGGAAACTGAAAGTGCATGCCCCACGGAAGTCTCGAGGTTGCAGTAGTTATGGGCTGTGTTGTGGTGTGACCCGAAATTTACTTACAGGGTTAGATTACCAGCAGTTAGGACCAACAAACTGGGCGTCCTGCTGGTACGCAAGGAACATTCAATATTGATGTTTTGACTTTCAGCACGTACACCTAATTTTCCATCGGGGCTAGGGCTGACTCATCCGTCGTCGATAAGTCATCGCTGTCGTTGCGTTTCTCACGGTTGTTTGACGGCGGTGGTCGTCAGTTCCGGACTGCTTTCGTCGCGTGTGACAGTAAAGGTGATGCCCATCATGTTGAAGCTACTTTTTAGCACCGTTGTCGCTGTCATTGTTGCTGTCACCGAAATATCGTGTGAAGCTGTCGTGGTTTTGGAAAATCGAGAAGTAACGCTGACATGCGACATCAGTCCCACCGCGCCGAGAACATCAGCCGTGTTCTGGTATTCGAACTCCTTGTTGGAGTACCTTACAACTAACGATGACTTGATTCCGGAGCTGCGAGACGCCGACCTGTCCCTGTATCAGCGCATCTCGGTGGCGGGGTCCGTCAGGAGAGGCAAGTACAATCTACGCATTGTCGACGTGAGAGCAGAGGATGCTGGAGATTATGTATGCGGATATTACCGCAGTGGCAACGAGTGGATCACGGTCAAGACCGTGACTGTGGATGTGTTGACGCCCCCGGGACGAGAGTACCCCGCTTGTTCTGCGATGTCATCCGGCGACACGCTCCTCTTGCCCGGGATGCTGGTCAACCTGAGCTGCATTTCTTACGGTGGAAGTCCCCGTGCTCAGCTGACCTGGTACCGTGAAGGTGTACCTCTGGAGAGCACGGTGACCCACGGTGGACTGTGGGTTTATCATCAACGTTTCATACAGGAGGATGACAGCGGCGTTGAGTTCACCTGCGAGGCAACCAGCACTGCATTGCCAGAGCCGAAAAGTTGCAGCATTGTCCCCTACCGCAAAGCCCCGCTGTTGTACGTCGAGCATATTCGCGGTGGTTTAGTGGGATTGGGCGACTCGGCAACATTCACCTGCACTACCCAGAAACTTCTCACTCCCACCGGCCGCAATGACAAGGCGCAATATCAGTGGTACTTCAACGGAGAACCGGCCGAGGAGAACCGATCCGGAATTGTGGTTGAAGACGGGAAATCGCTCATACTTCGGAATGTTACTGCCATGGACGACAAAGCAGTGGTTTCCTGCGAAAAAGTTGATGAATTTACCACCAGGAGTTCGGCATCGATGACCATCCTAGTAGTGTCCCCAACCTACCCCGTGCTTATACACGACGAGAAAGACTTAACTCCATCTCAGAACCCTGCATCTTTTGTATCCACCCCGGTACCTGCCGTGTATGTAAGCCAAGTGGGATTCGTCACGTGCATTTTCGGGGCCTTCCTTTTTGGGATGTTTTTCATGCTTTTCTTGATTTTAATACTACGACTATACTGCAACTACACTCGTAAGCGCGGTCGACTGGATTTCAGTACAGAACACGAAATTGCCGTCGGATGGCAAAAAGCTCACAAAAAGTCAAGCTGTGACGACGCGAGACAGGAAAGCATCACTGTCACAGATAGGCCTGCAACCGCTCGAAACAGCCCAGTGCGCACCTTTAAGAAACCAAATGGCGTGGTAGCAAATGGTAACCTAGCAACAAGCGAGTGTGCAGAGTGTCTGAGAAGTGGCAACACGGAGGGGAATGTTGCCACCAACATGGAATCACCTTGTCCTGTTGCTTCTTCTGACAGGTCCGCTGCCCGACTTAGTCAGCAGTCAAGGAAAGCCGTCTCAAACGACCCTCTTCCAGGCCCAACCCCCCGGAAGAAGCCCCCACCCCTGAGCCTGTTTAATGAGAACAGCAGGCCGTTGCTGTCTTCCCCATCGCCGAATTCTGGGGCCAGTAGAAGGCTTCCTTCCGTTGACCGGGACCACACGGCATCCATGCCTGATCTTGCCTCGCGCCAATTCGGGGACCCGGCACCTTCCTGCTCAGACCATGACTACGTCAACCTGCACGCCCCATCCTCCTCCAGAGAGGAGTCCGGCGGCTCCACCCCATCTTCCTATGTCAACTGTGAGTTCGTGAGTCCCATCCCTCCCATCACACCCGTGAAGAAGCAGTTCCCGAAATCCGCCCTCGACGCTAATCATAAATCAGTCTCTTACGCCGAGCTGGACCTACCGAGTGTCAGGGAGAGGCCCACCACGCCCATCTCACCCATAAGCCCAGGAAGTGGCAAGGCGCGCGCTGGTAGTGTTTCCGTGGAACGCACTAAGTATGCACAAATAGCGTACGTGTTTAAAGACAGGCGGCAGCAGAGCCTCCCCTCTGTCAAACTTGTGGGACTAAGTGAGGGTTTTGGCGACAAAGTCTGAGCAAGTCGTGTACATGTATTTGTAGTTATATACATTGTATTTAGCAGAAACGCTGCCACCATGTGAAACACTGGCTTGAATAGCTACATCCTGTATGCCAATACACAGTGGTTATACAGTGACGTAACATTGTGGCGGAATTTCGGGGATCTCCGGATCGTTTGCGGATATTTCAGGAGGGAACAGTGAAAGCATATGTTCGTTCGAAAATGACATCTACCCTGCCCCTCCCACGTTGCACCACTGCTCACATCCACCTTTCAAAATATTATCCACTGTCACACTGCAGTTTGTCTTTGGAAAACATACAACGACACCTAGATATTGTGGTCGTTTGTGTTCCTTTTCCCTTGTGAATAAGCATAAAACAGTGGCGTAAATTTGTGCCGGGAATCGGGGGATGGGGAAAGGGGGATGACTTGCCCGGCCAAGAAAAATCGAAAAGCGAGGGGGGGGGCACTATATGAATCTGGTGACAGGTTGATGTTTCTTTATACAGGGTGTCCACATAAAAAAGTGTCAGATGTGCATTGACAGGAATGGTGGCCATGTGGACGGCACAGCACATTAAACTCGCAAGGTAAATAGCAAAAAAAACCAGATTAGATTGATTTATGTACATTATTTAAAGAATGTGTTCTTAAAGCAAAGGCATTTGGTATTCTGCACACTTGCATGGTCTACCCTTGTTAATAAAATATGCAAACTTGTCACTGTGCCGATTTCAGTACCCTTAACACCGGTCTAATTTGTTCACTCATCTGTGTCAATAACATCACAAGCTGTATACCACTGCAAAGAGGACAGTCTGCCCTTTCTAAAGATAAATTTCTCTTTCCCATATATAAAGGAGTTTTGCCGTTACCTTTGTTTTTTTTATCTCGGTATACTTTTTTTCATGTGGACACCCTGTATTGATGTACATCTGTGATTACGTATTCAGAATGCCATATTTATGTCTGTTTTGAATTGTTTTCCTTTTGGGGTGAAATAGAATTTGTTGGAAGTCGGAAAAATTCTTCACAATTCGCTTTAAGTTTTTCTCACCCACAAAATGTGTGGGTGTGTGTGTGTGTGGGGGGGTGATTAATAACCCCCCCCCAAAAAAAGATGTATGCCCCCATCGCCTGGATTTACGACCTGATACAAACGTTTTGGTAGAAATTTAAGTGTTGGACTTTTTAATTCCTATTTGACAGTGTTTGTTGTTTGGTGGGCGTTTATACTGTGACAACCTTTCAACTGGCATGCACAAATGAAACGACATTCCTAACACTAACAGATCGGACTTTTAACTGTTCGTCCTTTTAACTCCCCCTTTTTCATGTTTGTTATTCAGTGGGCGTTACTGTGACAACTTTTCAAAAGGCACTTTCAAAATGAAACGCACGCTGCGCAGGTCAAGGTACTCCCACTGAAAGGATAATTTCTGACTGCAACAAATTTGATATATGTGATAAAATGCGGATAAATATAATTCTAATGCCTTGCTGTAAACAATACCACTTTGTAAAGTACATGTATGTTTTTCTGCTTCCTGTTGGAAGTGTGTACATGTACTTATAACGAAAAATAACGATGGGAGAAAGGGAATATCATACATCAAGATTACCCACTTTAGTCTTCTTAGGGGATATTCAGTCCCAATAACACGACTGTAACGACTTGTACGGCGGTTAGTCACTTTTGACGTCATCGCTTTGTGTTTTAATCAGCGTCCCGTTGTTACTGTAAAATCTGCACAGCAGCATGCCGCACTCTACAATTAACCTCGATCTCTTGAATATGCTCCGGTGGTCAGCCCACGGACTATTTAATAGCTCCATATAGGGCCTACATTGTACATGTACAGTGTGAAGTTTGTTTATATGATAGTGTTTGTTATAAGTAAAGTCATGTTCTGTGTATTAACTTCACATTTGAATGACACACGTGATTTTTATCAAAGTGGAAAGTTCTTTGAGTTGTAATTTTTTTCGTTTTGTCTTACATTTGCATCGTGTGTTGTAAGTACAATTCCATTACACGTACTGGACTGTGAAATTTTGACGTCAAGAAGTGACACATTGGCGTATATAACGACAGGTGTGATTTATGTGGCTCTATTGTGAGGATCGTTGAGATTAAGAGTTTCACACAATGACTTCAAAACCAAAGTTGTAAAGAATTGATCAGACACCCACCCTGTCTGCCCTCACCTTTGTCGGCATTTAAAAGTTCCCGAAACAGTTTGGTAGTAAGAGGAGCCTTCATGTCAACGTCGGAGTTTTCTGATTTTCAGGTTTTTATATATTTGTATCACTTTTAAATGATTGTATTTCTGTTTTCAAATCTAGATGAAAAATAAATGCTACAAGCAAATTTCTGAGTATTTGTTATTCCAATCATCTTTGTATAAATGCTTTGTTTTGTGTTTACAATGACGGTCCTGACATATTTTATTTAGGGGCATACGATGAGAGTAGTTTATTTGAACTTTTTTTACATCTGTTTCCGTCTGGGAACAATGTCAGATCCAATTATCTACTGGGAAAACTGCGGTGGAGATTTGGAAACTGCAACGAAAATTTTTTCTGTCGGATCATCGGCTTCAGAAAACAGTACAATTTCATGTGAATAGAGGGGCTTCTTGAATTACAAACAAATGCAGATTGTTCGCTGACTGCCCCTAATTGTTCAACCTGTCGCAATTAGTGCATAATTTTAACACGGACCAATTTGCGTAGCGGTTCAATACGTCGGACTTCTCTCGCATTGTTTGCTGTTTACATGTTTGGAGCAACTTCTGGGACTTTTTAAGTACCGTATTATGCGTTCGTAAATGCCTCACTGAACAAGCCAATTCACCAATACAAGTCAGAAACTTTACACACCAGTGCACCTATATATATACAGCGTCACACACCAGTAACTCACTCGTTGAGAACGTGTCTGTATGCCTTGGGTATAGATCTGTCAATGACTATAATAATTTGGAACTTTCATCAGAGTCCCGGTTTCTGATGGAGACGTCCTTGCTGTACTTTGTTTACGGGAAGTCTACTGTAATTTTTTTAATCACAACAAAAGACGGCATTGCGACAATTCATCAGATTGTCGCCCCCGTGATGGGCTAATACCACAAGAGCATGCCACGTTATCCAACAAATCAAACTTGAGGATGAAAGCTTATTTCATGGCATTGCAGTTGGTTTTTTTGGGGGGGTGGAGAAGGGGTAATTTGATGACTTCAAGTTCATCTAAGACAAATTTTGCTCCAGAGCTGAAGAACCACTAAAATACCTGTACACTGATGTCATGATGTGCAACACCATGCAAAAAATCACGCATTCACTTCTGTAACATTACAAAATATAATCATTTTAGGGCGTAATTTCATCCACATTTCCAGCAAATACAAACTGAGTGCGTCCTTCACAGGATGAAACTCCTTCGATGGTTCGAGCTAATGGTTGAACGATTGTGACAGAGGGCGCTATAAATATAATGCTGTATGCGCCACAAAGCCTGAAAGTAAAGGTCACGCAGCGAGCTTCCAGAACCCTTGCGCGGTCTGCCTATGGCAGGATATTTTTCTTTCAGATCAGGTAATTTTTCAATTTCTGTAAATTGATTTACTAGCAAATATTTTCCAAAGCACTTTTTCCGAGTTGGGTTTTTTAAGTAACTTAACGGAAATTCTTAAATTTATGCACGTTGTTTTTCCTATTCAAGTGTTCCAGAAGCGCGCGTTCAGAGGTCAATTTTCAGGGGACAATGCCGGGACAATCTATCGTCGCAAAGCAACATAAGTAGCTGATATACATGTAATAATATTATACAATGTAGGCCTACTGCATATCATTCGGACTTTAAAATACATACAGATTGCAGTGTGCACAAGTATATTTTTAGGCGTAACAAATCCGATGAGACGCCATTCCTACACTCACGCGTACGCAGCTGTCTCAACTTGAGTGCGCGCGCGCACTTCAACAACTGACTACTGCCTATTGGTCAAGGAGGAATTTCACGCGCACGCACCGCGACAAGGTGGCCCCATAGTAATGGCTTCTTTTTGGTGGTCGGATTTGTCCACCGTGTATTGAAAACAAACAAAACAAAACAAACAACAGATGTGCATAATACGCTAAGATCCAGTGCTGAAAGGTTTTGCATTCGGTGCAATCTATGCCCGCGTGTCTGTAGACTTCCAATATCGCTCACAGACGGCCAAAGTTTGGAACCCATGGCCTTTGGTCAGTGTCGGGCCTTTTGCAGAACAGGCAGGGGGTCTTCTAACAACAGGAATTCTGTTCAACGTTTTTCATCTCGTCCACGATGGTCGGTTCCCGTGGCGGCGTACTGACGTGTTTACATGGCTACGGAGTGATTTCACCAGATTGACTTGGTTCTGACTTTTCCAAGGCTGTCCCCAGTTTCTTTGTTTCATTAATTGTTATTAAATTAATTTAACGGTTGTCACCCATAATGCTTCAACGTAGGTTGTTTACATTTAGAGCGGATAATCTTACGGTCACCCAATAAACAGCTGCGTTTAGAGACCAGAGCAGTTTTATATACTGTTTATATCATTCCGATTATCTAATTTTTCCTACATTAAGATTTTTTTCATTAGAAGAGCAGCTTGTTGTATTGGTTCGCTTTTTGAAGCGAACTGGAGGCTGGTTCCTGTAGGTTCATACTCGAAATTTCAATTTTAAAGAATAATTTTGCTGTATCTCCCGCTCAGAAGGTAGACTATGATAATGTCCATATTTCACTGAGATTGTTTGAATTTCAATCAGACTAAATAAGTGGACGATCAAGAAGGAGTAAAATGACCTACTCTGTTTCTGTTACCGCACGCCCACTGTCATTTCCGCTGTACCAAGCATGTAGTATGAATTAGCGACGTGATCTTGGCTTTCTTGACTTTCTTCGCGGATCTTGAAGGAAAGGCGCTCAAGGTCAGTGCCGGCTATACCGTTCAACATATTGTGCAGATAACCGTACCACGAGGGAGTAAATATCGGTCTATATCTAGGATGATGAAATCAGCACACTCGATTGCTAAGACGTGAAGTATTATCATGCGATACACAAAACCATGATATAGATGGAAATGTGTCTGATGCAGGGAAGTGGCTACAGACGGTGAACAAATGGCATGTAGCACAGCGACGCAACTAGGGCGAAATTCCGGGGGGGGGCACCGGGGGTATACACGTGTTTTTTTCAAGGGGGCACCACAAGGAAATAAGCTGTAGTTGAACGGAGATTTTGCACACGTTTCAAATTGGGGGGGGGGAGCCGGGAAGAGGGTGCACAGGCACCCGTGCCCCCCCCCATTTATGCCACTGGTGTAGCGTCTCCATATTTCAAGCTGCATTGTGTACAAATATCACACTTTCTTTTGGCATTCTTAGAGTTCTTTCCAGGTTTTACTTGTTTATCGTGATAGGCAGCTTGTTTGGGCAAAAGAAATAGCCAATATTCCTTCAAATATTTGCAGTGTTGTAACTAGTCACTAAATTTGGTGACTCGAGTCATTCGGTCAACAAGGCCAAGAAGTCGAGTCGAGTTAAGTAACTTTGTGTAATCGAGTAGAATTAAGCATACCGAGTTCGAGTTAATTTGAGTTGCAGAGTTGTGGATCAAATACAATAAAAACTCAACT